TGCACATCACTGGAAGAACTACAAAATGGTTCAAGTGTTACAGAAAATGGAATGGAAATTCCTCAAAAAACTAAAAACAGAATTTCCATAGGACTCTGCAATTCCATGTCTGGGTATGCATTGAAAGCGGGGTCTTGAAGATATATTTGCACATCCATGTTCCTTGCAGTACTATTCACAAGAGCTAAAAGATGGAAGCAAGCCCGTATCCGCCGACAGAGGAACGGAAGGACACAATGTGGTATATCCATACGATGGAATACTATGCAGCCTTTAAAAAGGAAGGAAATTCTGGCACCAAAATATGGATGTACCTCAAGGACATTAGGTGAATTGAAATAAGCCAGGCACAATATTATATCATTCCACTTCCATGAAATATCTAAAGTTCACAGGGACAGAAAGAAGAATGATGGTTGCCAGGGGCTGGAGAGGAGGAAATGGAGAGTTGTTTTGTGGGTACAGAGTTTCAGATTTGCAAAATGAGAACGTTTTCTTTCTTCAAATGGGTTCTATTTGACAGCAACATGAATATACTCAACGCTACTCAACTGTATACTTAAGAGTGGGTACACTGGTAACTTTAAGGTTGTGGGTTTTTCCCACAATGAAAATAAAACAAAATAAAATAAAGAAAAAAGAAACGGGAAAAGGTAGCCAGTGGGGAAAACACACACACACACACACACACACACACACACACACACACACACAGCATAGCTAACAGTTCCTCTCCCTGCCCAGGTGTGCTGTAGGGTCACATCCTCCCCTGATCCTGCCAGGTGCCCTCCCCTAAGTGCCATTACTATAACACTGCACCTCTCTGACCTAGAGCTGGGGACAGGAAGGGGCGGACTGGCTCTGGTCTCTATCCCAGGGCTTACCCCAGCACCTGGTACCAGCAGATGTTAGGTAAATATTTGCTGAACAAGTTGCATGAAAACCACATGGTGAGGTTAGGCTGGTACCATTATCCCCATTTTACAGACAGCCTAATGGAGGCTCAGCAAGGCCTCCACCTTTTAGAAAGGTGACCTTTCTAAAACCACAAAGCCAGCAGCTGGTAAAAGAAGAGGTGGCGCCGATATCCCAGACTCCTGTTAGATGGCCCTTCTATCATTCCATCTCCCTTCAGAGTCAACCTGGCACCCATTTCAACAGGAATTTCTAAATAATAATTCTCACCCTATACTAGTAACTCTTACCTTTTTTGGATCATGGGCCCATTTGGCAATCTAATAGAGTCCTCTTCCCAAAGCAACACACATATGAGACTTAGATAATGGTTTCCAGAGGGTTCCTGGACCCCCTGAAGCCCATCCATCGACAACATTAACAACCTCCTTTCCACCCTGCTGTCCGGGTGGCTCATTTATCCTCAGGATTTTAGAGCCATCTCCATATTCTTGAGCATCAGAGTCAAGGAAAGATGCTATTTTAAATTCACACTCGCAGGCCCATCTCCTGTGGATCTGGTTAAGGAGGTGCAGGGCTGTGTCCAGAAATCTACAGGAGGTGCACCGGGGGATTCTGGGATTGGTAGATCTGAGACACATGTGGGTCCAGGAGCTGCTGCCTCCCAGGCCTCTGAATGCTGTCCAGATGATCCCCTGACCTTCCAGCCTCTCTCCCCAGCTGCCCACCAAACCCGGCAAATAGACATCCACCACCTGAGCACAACCCAACAGGGACTTCCTGAGCCCAACATCGGTGACCCCAGAAGTTCTCCTTTGCTGGGGTCACTAGGCCCGAAACCTGGGCATTACCCTTGACTGTCCCTGTCCCCATCCCACATCTTGACCACCACCAAGGCCAGCAGATTCTATCCTCTATGTGCCTCTGGGCACCCCCACTTCCCTCTAGCACCCCTTCGGGCACTGTGGTCCAAGCTCCCAGCTTCTCCTCCTTGCTTGCATCTGCCTCCACCATCCATTCTCCGTCCTGCAACTCTGAGCCTGTCATTGCCCTGCACAAAGCTCTACAGTGGTGACCAAACTCTAGAACTGCACTGTCCAATATGGTAGCCACAGGTGGCTATTTAATTTAATATCCAAAGTTCTGCCCACAGTTCTCACTAGTCACGTATCAACTGCTCAAGAGCCACATGTGGCTGGTGGCTACCATATTGGATAGTGCAGATATAGCACATTTCCATCCTCACAGAAAGTTCTAGTGGACAGCAGAGCTCTACAACTTCACTTAGGAGCCCTTCAGGGCCTGGCCTCAGCCTTTGCTCAGACCGCTCCCCAGCATCCCTGGTCTTGAGCCACCGTGAACCACTCTCAACTCCCTAAAGTCATGCTCTCACTTCTAACCCTTTGCATGCCATACCCTTCCTGCCTTCCTTGCTTGGCTAACTCCTACCCATTCTTTGGGTCTCAGCTGTCACTTCTCCCCTAAGCAGGACAAGTGCCCAAGCTTTTGCCAACCACAGCATTTAAAACACTGAGCCATAACAGTCACGGGCATGCCTACACCCATTACCCCCATACCAACAATTTTCAGCTAGGAACAAGTTTGCAACCCCCCATCCAGGGGACAACTGGCAGAGTCTGGATTCATTACTGGTGAGGTGCTCCTGGCATCTGGTGAGTAGAGGCCAGGAACATGCTAACGTCCTACAATGCACAGGACAACCCCTGCAGCAAAGAATCATTTGGCCCCAAACGTCAACAGTGTTGAGGATGACCATCCCTGCTCTAGACTGGACAGCTCCATAAAGGAAGGGGGTGTGTCCCGTACAGCGTGTATCCCCAGCCACCAGCCCAGAGTTGGGCATACAATGAGTCCAGACGTTCTATAAGATTTTTCCCCAGGATTCTAGCTCTCTTACAGCGTCTTACAATGACAATCAGTCACTGGTCATTACGGCAGGCTGAATAATGCCCCCCCCCCCCCC